GAGTGTGTATGTGTAAAATGTTGCAATCAGAATGAGTGTGTATGTGTAAAATGTTGCAATCAGAATGAGTGTGTATGTGTAAAATGTTGCAATCATAATGAGTGTGTATGTGTAAAATGTTGCAATCAGAATGAGTGTGTATGTGTAAAATGCGCTCATAAAAACTTTTCATTGATTTGTGTTTATTATTTATTTTTTTATCAATAGATGTGATCAGTTTTTATTTAAACATATTATTTATGTGGACATTCATTTGCTATTTCTGATGCATGACAGACAAATACCAGTGAGAGTTTGCTATTTTAACCCCGTGATAGCGTTACAGGAAAACACAAAACAGTTTCATATCCATAAAGTTGTTCATAATTTACAGATAAGAAGACCAACACTTCCAGTCGATTTTTTGTCATCCCTCGAGATAAGAAACAGGAAACGACGACAAGATTATATTGTGCTCAGTCAAACTGTTGGCTAAGCGAACAGATTTGACTCCCTTGTGGGGACGATGTGCCAACCTTGCGTCAGCTCTCCTGCCGCCTAAATGTTGGGGGTGGGGGTGGGGGTGGGGGGGGGGTGGGGGGGGGAGGAGTGGGTCATGTTCATTTGTCACCACTTGCCCCTTTCCGTAACCTGCAAGAAGACTCGTCCCCCTATCGATGAATGTTATGTGCGAAAATACGACAAACCAATCAGAATGCGCGTATGATTTCAAGTTCTTCGTCAGAGAATCCCTCAGAAATAAGTTTTGATTTTACACATGTTTTGCTTCTAAAAATATACCCAAGACACAATTAAATGTGTTCAATCATACTGTATAATTCCCGATGTGCTTTAAATTGCATCTGAAATATATATAATATATGGGGAAATATATGTGAACCATTACGCAACGAGTTGATAATTGTTTTAGGTATGCCCGTTTGCGCTAAGACGGAACCCAAAATGGCCATGAGAGGGGTACGAGTCGCTATTCGGCTTGTCCCGGAATAACACGAGTTGGTCACGAATGGGTCATGTTGGTTAAATATAATGTCGATCCCATTCACTCTGAACTTTTAATTGTTTATATTTAAATATCTGCAAGATGATTTGATGATAAAAGAATCATTTTGTTCATGCATGACCTCATTTGATATTTTATTAGTTTCAGAAAATAATTAATGATTTAAATATGTTTGGTTTGAAAATTTCCATGTTGCACAGATTTTCACACTAAAAACATCATGATTAACCAGTGCAGACAATTTCACGTGAAAAAAATGGAGAGAAATTAAATACCTTTGTTTCAAAACATGTTTCCTCTTTTGTACTCTATCTGAAAATGTTTCAGTGAAAATATTCCGTTTCGTCAAAGATAACAACAAATAAGAAAACAAAACTGAAAAACCTGTTATCGTACTATCGTCATATCCTCGTTCGCAGCCACGATTTTGTTAATAAATAGTACAATTAACCACCAAACATAGCATAGCTCAGATACTTTTCCCAAGTCTGTGAACAATGTCTTTTTTTCTAGGGGCGGTGGGGTAGCCTAGTGGTTAAAACGTTCGCCCGTCACGCCAAAGACCCGGGTTCGATTCCGGACAATGTGTACAATGTGTGGAGCCCATTTCTGGTGTCCCCCGCCGTGATATAGCTGGAATATTGCTAAAAGCGGCGTAAAACAATACTCGATTATTCACCTTTTTCTATTTTAACAAGTCTGTTTGGACATCTACATCGAATCAGGTGACACTTTTTGATTGTCACTCTTTAAACGTTAACTACCGGGCAAAAGAAAGTTTTCACTATAAAAATAGTTGTATAAAAAGCAAAAAAACTGGTACAGGTTTGAACCCCAAAAGAAAACATTCGCCCCAATGCGACATGATCACAACCACAACGCAGATTTTCGAAAGCAGCTTTTCAAATGATGCATTGTTGAAAACGTGTAAAACGTGATTTTTAGACATTGGTCCAAATGCACGTTTGTGATTGTGGCATAAATACCGACGTTGGAAAGAGTAGGCATTTAGTAAGCAAAAACCCACCAAGAATATGCCCAGACTTACACAAGCGCAACGAGACAGAGCGATCGGTATGGCCAATATGGGGGCTACTCAACGTCAGATAGCCAGAACCTTCAACTGCTCCCAGACCACCATCAGCAAGTTGATAATCCGCTACCAACAGACAAGACAGACTCAAGACCGGCCAAGATCGGGAAGACCGAGAGTGACAACACCGGCCGAAGACCGCTACATCCGGCAGATTCACCTCCGAAACAGATGTGTGACGGCGACGTTAACGGCGGCAACAGCACTAGGGCATGCCATCAGCAGACGAACAGTCCTTCGACGACTTTGTACGGCTGGTATACGAGCCTACCGACCCTTCCGTGGAATGGCCTTGACCCGTCTACACCGTCAACGCAGACTGCAATGGCCACGAACTGTACGTCGGTGGCAGCGACGTGACTGGGCGAGAGTGCTCTTTACAGGTGAAAGTCGGTTCCGCTGTTCAGGAACGATGGCAGAGTTCGAGTTTTTCAACGAACGGGAAAGCGACTGGCGCCAAACTGCATTAGAGAAGTTCACCCGTCTGGAGGTGGAGGCGTCATGGTATGGGGTGGCATTTGTGGCCAGATTACAACACGGCTGGTTATCATCCGAAGAAACCTGAATGCTCAGCGATACAGGGATGAAGTGTTGAGACCTGTTGTGGTGCCCTTTATCCAACCAAGAGGATTAATTTTGCAACAAGACAACGCAAGGCCTCACACCGCCCGAATTGTTCAAGACTACCTGAACAACGATAACGTCAACGTATTGCCCTGGCCACCTTGTTCCCCAGACATGAACCCCATTGAACATCTCTGGGATCATCTTGATCGTCAGCTGAGACAACATGTACCGCCAACAGCGAACCGACAGGAATTTGAACAGACTCTATTGTACTTATGGAACAGGATTCCTGTTGGCGTTATCCGCCGACTGACGACGTCAATGAGGAGGTGTGTGTTGGCGTGCATGGATGCCCAGGGTGGTCACACTCGCTATTGATGACGTGTTACCTGACTACTGTGTCATTAATGGACTCTTCATTCACTTTTTCAATGAACTCTGATTTGTGTAATTTTTAATTTGGACCCCTTGAATCTTTCTGTGTGTATTGCGGAGGATGCAGTATCGGCATTACAATGCATTTACATTCTAATTCATGGAATATGATTTCTGTTTATAAATTAATCATCATAAATCTCACATATGCCTTTGTTTTTGGTGTTGGGTCAAGTGAAGTCGATGAACACTTTCTTTTGCCCCGTAGTTTAGTAAACGGAGACACAGGACATTCATCTCCGCGTAAGGGTTTAGACAATTCCAATTTTAACCCTCGTATTCCGGATGCGCTCTTTGGTCCGATACTATTCCAACAAGCGTTACAGAAACAAAGAAAACGCAAGTACTGTGTCAAGAAAATAGGACAATTTTTAAATGACAAACAGGCTTAGTCCCTGTAGGATCAGATGGAACGGATATTTCCCCGTCTGAGAGTTCGAGTGAACGGTCGAGATAAAATGCAGGAAATTGATCTTACAAATGTGAGTCGGTATGCTGAGCCAAATGACGAAATGTGATATTACTATCGCTATTGATATCCTCTCGAGGTATTTGTGGGCTGCCCTTTTACTGGATGGGAAGCCTGTCACTGACCTGAGGGATTGAAAACAATCTTCGAAGAGGTGAGGTGAGGTGAAATGGGGTTTAACGTCGCGTCCAAGATTATTGCACTTATATAGCGACGTGCATGTACGTGTGTGTGTTTGTGTGGCTTCTTGTACTAGTCCGGACTGATGCCAATTTATAGTGCTAGCTCACTGAGATACCATGCCGCAGTTTAACATGAATACCCCACTCAGACACAGTATACTGACTCCGAGCCGACCAGTCCTTGCTTTAACCCCTTAATGCCTAGCGCCAGACAGGGTAACAACTAGTACCATCTTTTAACGTCTTTTGGTATGACGTGGACGGGGATCGAACCCCGGACCTTCCCCTCTCCGGGCGGACACTCTACCACTAGACCACGGAGGCGGTCTGTATTACTATAACCAGACTGTACACGGCAGCCTCGGAACATTATACACTCCGGATCCGAAGACGTTTATCAAGTATTTAGAAAATCGTACGAGGAAGACATTCCAACCTACACTAAACAAAGGTCGTCGTAGATCAAACATTTGTTTTGTTATTCTTTAATATAAAATGTTTTTATTACCCTAACAAATATATTTTTACATTCACATGTGTCACATACAATTTTCCATACATCATTAACATCATCACCGTGTCACGTTGTGTTATGTATATACATGCGTACATTTCACCACACCAGAAGGACCATAACACGAGTTATTGATGTAGCGGTTGTACAGACACTATGTATTGTGCACTGGACACAGGTATTTGTCCTTCTAGACTGACTAACTTTTTAACAAACTGTAGATATCCAACAACCCCTAGTAACTGCTTCTCGTAATTATTATATTTATGCAAATGCAGCAGGCTAAAGTGAGTGAGTGAGTGAATATGGTTTTACGCCGATTTTAGCAATGCTCCAGCAATATCACGACGGGGGATACCAGAAATGGACTTTACACATTGTACCCACGTCGGGAATCGAACCCGGGCCTTGGGCGTGACAAGCGAACGCTTTAATATATACACTCTGTTTAACAATAAGACTAATCACATGTAACGGATTATCATTTTTTTATAAGTGAATTATTCCCTCAGAGATTGTATTTAGCCAGTCCGTACCCATCCCCCCCCCCCCCCCCACCCCCCCCCCCCCCCCACCCCCCACCCTCCACACACACACAAACATCCCTGACATATCTACATCCACACATCATATGTATACTGAGGGGCATTAAAAACGCACACCAGTTAATATCACATATGACATAACATAAAAAGATAATAAAACGTGAAAGGGAGATCAATCTTGACAAAATAATGTTGTTTTTCTCAGGTTTTAATGCAAACCCATGACTGGAAAGCATCTCAAATAGAGGAGGATTGAAATCAAAGTTCAAAGTTTAATAACGTGTATGCCCTCGACAATGGGCAACAATGCATGTCTGAAGTCTGTTAAGCTTTGATAAGCACAGTCGTAGAGTAAACGTCTGTTGACTGGCCCTCGAGTTGAGTTGAGTCTGTGGTGGTTGCAACTAACGTCGAACCCTACGACCAAGCTCGTCCCACAAATGTTCAAATGGATTCAAATCCGGCGATCGAGAGGGCCAATTTAACACCTGAACATAGTGTTGTTGCAAGAAATTCCGGGTCACGTGAGCTGTATGAGGTCGGGCATTGTCATGTTGGAACACCAGTTGGTTAACGCCACGTCGACGTCCTCTCAGCAACGGTAAGAGCTCAGGTTGCAACACTGAGTCAATGTAACGTTGGGCGTTGACATTTCCACGAATCACAACCAAGTCAGGGCGAAAGTTGGCATTAATTGCACCCCACACCATGGCACCTCCACCTCCCAAACGATCATGTTCAATAACGCAGTTTCGGGCAAAACGTTCATGGTTCCGTCTGTATATACGAATGCGGCCATCTGGGAAACTGACGTTGAAGCGTGATTCATCTGAAAAGATAACATCTCTCAATTGCCTGGGAGCAAGACGACCACCTGCACCTGCCCAACGTTGACGTGCAAGACGGTGTGCGTGAGTCCATATCTGGCCACGATAGAGTCGACGGCACCGGATGTTTCGTGCAGTAGGCGACGTCGGACTGTGCGATCACTGATTGGTCATCCCCTTGTTCCCATCACGCCAATGGCAGTCTGTCATGCTGTTCTGAAGCGATTCCTAAGGTGACTCACAATGATGAGTTGGTCCTGCCTCACAGGCGGCGTTCCTGGTCGAGGACGGTCGGCTACACTCCCAGTTGTCCTGTGACGATGCTACAGTCGGACAACAGTTGATCGATGGGCATTGAAGTGCGCAGCAACGTCTCTGACAAGCTCCCAACATCCCTATGGCGTGGTTCCTCTGTGGGCTGCTTAACCATGGCATCATGATCATGCATGATACCCCTGCCCGCACTGTGTTTTTTATAGGGCCCATTCCCCACTTTGCACGTGCATCATGACTTTTTTCTGATCTACCTGATTTCCCACATTTCACCTTCATGGTTTCATGATTTTAGTCGTCAAGCCACTGCGTTCATGGCAGTTGGGATTCAAACTCAAACATTTGATGTTCGACATTGCTCTGTATACCCCTTTACTTCTGATCACTTGTTAGACACACAGACACAGATAACGCCGACTTTTAGCATGATGATGGGTGTGCGTTTTTAATGCCTTTCAGCTTATCATGGTTTCCGGTTCCGCTGATCATAGATCAAACATGATACCCATCGAAGCGAAACACGTGCCCTCGTCAATGCTGACAGTAAGTTCTCCGAAAATAGAAGTGACGTCACACAATCAAAACGTCGTCGAAAGAACCGAGGATGCTAATGAGAGGATTGTGAAGAAAAAATGGGAAATTCAAAATTGGAAATGTCAAAATGCGAAAGGTCAAAATGGGTAATGTCAAAATGGGAAAAGTGAGAATGGGGAAAAAAATCGTCACTTCTAAGAAAGTGCAAACACCAATGCACCGGGTGTTCGTTTTACCAATACCTCAGCTGTGAATCAAAACGATATATTTTCAGAGTATGCTGACTAATCTCAACTAAACTAAAAAAGGATTTTACTAAGGCGTTACCATCGTCTTTAGACAAGTATCTTGCAACCCCACCACGTGAACGTGCGCACGTATATGGTGCTGACAAACCTAGAAACATAATTGGGGTGAACCAGGATTCAAACACAGAATCATAGGTTTCTGGAGAAACTCTGCACAGCGAAATGCGACTGGACCATCTGTGCCCTCCCCCCTTGCCTCTGAAGATGTTGGTTTCATTCCATCGGAACCCAGCCAGGCCACACGTAGTCCGTGTGGTAGTCCTTGTACCAGTTTGACATGTCCGTGTTGTTTCGGAAAGGACGGTTATAATACACAGTTGTCCCCCCTGCCAGGAAACCAGCCCACCAACCAAAACTCCCGACACTTATGATAGTATGATTGCACATACTAAATACACAAAGATCCACTTCCGGCAACTCCCTCTGCAGCACAACGACATCCACGGCGGCGATATTACGATTCACCCAACCTCCATCATCTCCTCCAACAACGAACAAAGCATTGGGGTATATAGCTCGGAAATAGTTCATCGCATGGATGTAGTACTCCGCTGGTGGAGTGGTACGTCCCTGGCGTTTACTACCTGATGCCATGTAGTCCCCTCGCCTCACGTGCACCCCGATATAGGTCACATCTGTAACTAAGCCAGCCCCTCCAGAACCAGCCCGTGTCACGTGCTCCTGCTTGTGTGAAGTCGGTGGGTGATCAGTGCTTCTCCCAGAACCAGCCCGTGTCACGTGCTCCTGTTTGTGTGAAGTCGGTGGGTGATCAGTGCTTCTCCCAGAACCAGCCCGTGTCACGTGCTCCTGTTTGTGTGAAGTCTGTGGGTGATCAGTGCTTCTCCCAGAACCAGCCCGTGTCACGTGCTCCTGTTTGTGTGAAGTCGGTGGGTGATCAGTGCTTATCCCAGACACATCACGCAGTGAGACATCGGCAGCCTGGGGGGCTAGTGTTGACTTGTTCGGTGTGTTCGGCTGAGTGGAAGCATGGATGACTGGAGTTGAGTGACCACTCTGATTTGGCAGCCAGCCAGCTTTCCTGTGTCGGGAAAGGAACTCCTGTTTGAGTGATACCAGTTTCCTAAAGGCAGTGTCTGCAATGTTTTGTTTGAATTTAAACTGTTGCCTTATGCTTGCTTCGACCGCTTTGAAATACTTCCATGACTGAAGATAGAGTCCGATCTTTTGACATTCATGTTTGTTTATTTTCGTAGCCAATTCGGCATGGTAGGTACAACAGTCAACAAACACATCGCGCCAAAAAGCGCACCCTTGAAACGTTACGACCGTTTTATCGACGTGGAACAGTTTGTTGATGGCGTTGCCCTCAGGAATAAACAACGTCATGTTTTTTATTTTGGCAATAGCGTAAGCAGCGGCATATTCAAATAACTGGTTGCCAAGGCGACCTCCAAATACTGGTGTCAGAATTGGCATTTCTTCCGATTTCCTATCCTGCTTTGTAGTTGACGTGGGGATGTGTGTACTTGTCGTTGGGGTTACGCTAGCGTTTGTAAAGAACCTAGCGTTGGTGGTATTACTAGACTTGCGAGTCTCGCTTTTATTATGAACAGTCATTGACTTTGGAATAGTCTTTTTCTTTGGAATAGTCTTTTTCTTTGGAATAGTCTTTTTCTTTGGAATAGTCTTTGTAGTATTACGAGGAGAGAATTCCCCCTTGCCCGTCACTTCAAACGCTCTTGTAGCTGACACTGGCGTATCTGGCACTTCTTCTAGAGAGGTATCCATGGTAACAGGGGTGCCAGGTGACTCGTGTCGGTACAGGAAGTAGCCGTAAGCCATCAGTAGGTAAACAACTAGAGCTGCAGTGATTCTCCCACCTGCAAACAGAACACAGAATAGCTAGAATCACAATACACGTCTGTCATACATGGAACAGTTAGAGTCACACTACAGGTCTGTCATACATGGAACAGTTAGAGTCACACCACACGTCTGTCATACATGGACCAGTTAGAGTCACACTACAGGTCTGTCATACATGGAACAGTTCGAGACAAACCACACAACTGTCATACATGAAACAGTGAAGTCAAACAACACGTCTGTCATACATGGAACAGTTAGAGTCACACCACACGCCTGTCATACATGGAACAGTTACAGGCACACTACACGTCTGTCATACATGGAACAGTTAGAGTCCCAACACACGTCTGTCATACATGGAACAGTTAGAGACAAACCACACAACTGTCATACATGGAACAGTGATGTCAAACAACACGTCTGTCATACATGGAACAGTTAGAGTTCCACCACACGTCTGTCATACATGGAACAGTTAGAGTCACACCACACGTCTGTCATACATGGAACAGTGAAGTCAAACAACACGTCTGTCATACATGGAACAGTTAGAGTCACACCACACGCCTGTCATACATGGACCAGTTAGAGGCACACTACACGTCTGTCATACATGGACCAGTTAGAGTCCCAACACACGTCTGTCATACATGGAACAGTTCGAGACAAACCACACGTCTGTCATACATGGAACAGTTAGAGTCAAACCACACGTCTGTCATACATGGAACAGTTAGAGTCACACCACACGTCTGTCATACATGGAACAGTTAGAGTCACAACACACGTCTGTCATACATGGAACAGTTAGAGTCACACCATACGTCTGTCATACATGGAACAGTTCGAGACAAACCACACGTCTGTCATACATGGAACAGTGATGTCAAACAACACGTCTGTCAAACATGGAACAGTTAGAGTCCAACCACACGTCTCTCATACATGGAACAGTTAGAGTCAAACCACACGTCTGTCATACATGGAACAGTGAAGCCAAACCACACGTCTGTCATACATGGAACAGTTAGAGTCCCACCACACGTCTGTCATACATGGAACAGTTAGAGTCCCACCACACGTCTGTCATACATTGAACAGTTAGAGTTACAGAACACGTCTGTCATACATGGAACAGTTAGAGTCACACTACACGTCTGTCATACATGGACCAGTTAGAGTCCCAACACACGTCTGTCATACATGGAACAGTTCGAGACAAACCACACGTCTGTCATACATGGAACAGTTAGAGTCAAACCACACGTCTGTCATACATTGAACAGTTAGAGTCACACCACACGTCTGTCATACATGGAACAGTTAGAGTCACAACACACGTCTGTCATACATGGAACAGTTAGAGTCACACCATACGTCTGTCATACATGGACCAGTTAGAGTAATAAAACACGTCTGTCATACATGGACCAGTTAAAGTCACACCACACGTCTGTCATACATGGAACAGTTAAAGTCACACCACACGTCTGTCATACATGGAACAGTTAGAGTCAAACCACACGTCTGTCATACATGGAACAGTTAAAGTCACAACACACGTCTGTCATACATGTAACAGTTAGAGTCCCAACACACGTCTGTCATACATGGAACAGTTCGAGACAAACCACACGTCTGTCATACATGGAACAGTGATGTCAAACAACACGTCTGTCAAACATGGAACAGTTAGAGTCCAACCACACGTCTGTCATACATGGAACAGTTAGAGTCAAACCACACGTCTGTCATACATGGAACAGTGAAGCCAAACCACACGTCTGTCATACATGGAACAGTTAGAGTCCCACCACACGTCTGTCATACATGGAACAGTTAGAGTCCCACCACACGTCTGTCATACATTGAACAGTTAGAGTTACAGAACACGTCTGTCATACATGGAACAGTTAGAGTCACACTACTCGTCTGTCATACATGGAACAGTTAGAGTCCCACCACACATCTGTCATACATGGAACAGTTAGAATCACACCACACGTCTGTCATACATGGACCAGTTAGAGTCACACCACACGTCTGTCATACATGGAACAGTTAGAGTCACAACACACGTCTGTCATACATGGACCAGTTAAAGTCACACCACAAGTCTGTTATGCATGGAACAGTTAGAGTAATAAAACACGTCTGTCATACATGTAACAGTTAGAGTCCCAACACACGTCTGTCATACATGGAACAGTTAAAGTCACACCGCACGTCTCTCAAACATGGAACAGTTAGAGTAAAAAAACACGTCTGTCATACATGGAACAGTTAGAGTCACACCACACGTCTGTCATACATAATACAGTTAGAGGCACACCACACGTCTGTCATACATGGAACAGTTAGAGTCACACCACACGTCTGTCATACATGGAACAGTTAGAGGCACACCACACGTCTGTCATACATGGAACAGTTAGAGGCACACCACACGTCTGTCATACATAATACAGTTAGAGGCACACCACACGTCTGTCATACATGGAACAGTTAGAGGCACAACACACGTCTGTCATACATGGAACAGTTAAAGTTACAGTACACGTCTGTCATACATGGAACAGTTAGAGTTACACCACACGTCTGTCATACATGGAACAGTTAGAGGCACACCACACGTCTGTCATACATGGAACAGTTAGAGTTACAGTACACGTCTGTCATACATGGACCAGTTAGAGGCACACCACACGTCTGTCATACATAATACAGTTAGAGGCACACCACACGTCTGTCATACATGGAACAGTTAGATTCCCACCACACGTCTGTCATACATGGAACAGTTAGAGTCACACCACACGTCTGTCATACATGGAACAGTTAGAGTCCCACCACACGTCTGTCATACATGGAACAGTGAAGTCAAACCACACGTCTCTCATACATGGAACAGTTAGAGTCCCACCACACGTCTGTCATACATGAAACAGTTAGAGTCCCACCACACGTCTGTCATACATGGAACAGTTAGAGTCCCACCCGAGCCTGTCATACATGGACCAGTTAGAGTCCCACCACACGTCTGTCATACATGGAACAGTTAGAGTCACACCACACGTCTGTCATACATGGAACAGTTAAAGTCACTCCGCACGTCTGTCATACATGGAACAGTTAGAGTAAAAAAACACGTCTGTCATACATGGAACAGTTAGAGTCACACCACACGTCTGTCATACATAATACAGTTAGAGGCACACCACACGTCTGTCATACATGGAACAGTTAGAGTCACACCACACGTCTGTCATACATGGAACAGTTAGAGGCACACCACACGTCTGTCATACATAATACAGTTAGAGGCACACCACACGTCTGTCATACATGGAACAGTTAGAGGCACAACACACGTCTGTCATACATGGAACAGTTAGAGTCACACCACACGTCTGTCATACATAATACAGTTAGAGGCACACCACACGTCTGTCATACATGGAACAGTTAGAGGCACAACACACGTCTGTCATACATGGAACAGTTAGAGGCACACCACACGTCTGTCATACATGGAACAGTTAGAGTTACACCACACGTCTGTCATACATGGAACAGTTAGAGGCACACCACACGTCTGTCATACATGGAACAGTTAGAGTTACAGTACACGTCTGTCATACATGGAACAGTTAGAGGCACACCACACGTCTGTCATACATAATACAGTTAGAGGCACACCACACGTCTGTCATACATGGAACAGTTAGATTCCCAACACACGTCTGTCATACATGGAACAGTTAGAGTCACACCACACGTCTGTCATACATGGAACAGTTAGAGTCCCACCACACGTCTGTCATACATGGAACAGTGAAGTCAAACCACACGTCTCTCATACATGGAAAAGTTAGAGTCCCACCACACGTCTGTCATACATGGAACAGTTAGAGTCCCACCACACGTCTGTCATACATTGAACAGTTAGAGTTACAGAACACGTCTGTCATACATGGAACAGTTAGAGTCACACTACTCGTCTGTCATACATGGAACAGTTAGAGTCCCACCACACGTCTGTCATACATGGAACAGTTAGAGTCACACCACACGTCTGTCATACATGGAACAGTTAGATTCCCAACACACGTATGTCATACATGGAACAGTTAGAGTCACACCACACGTCTGTCATACATGGAACAGTTAGAGTCACAACACACGTCTGTCATACATGGAACAGTTAGAGTCACACCACACGTCTGTCATACATGGAACAGTTAGAGTCACACCACACGTCTGTCATACATGGAACAGTTAGAGTCACACCACACAACTGTCATACATGGAACAGTTAGAGTCACACCACACGTCTGTCATACATGGAACAGTTAGATGCACACCACACGTCTGTCATACATGGAACAGTTAGAGTCACACAACACGTCTGTCATACATGGAACAGTTTGAGTCACACCACACGTCTGTCATACATTGAACAGTTAGAGTCACAACACACGTCTGTCATACATGGAACAGTTAGAGTCACACTATACGTCTGTCATACATGGAACAGTTCGAGACAAACCACACGTCTGTCATACATGGAACAGTGATGTCAAACAACACGTCTGTCAAACATGGAACAGTTAGAGTCCAACCACACGTCTCTCATACATGGAACAGTTAGAGTCAAACCACACGTCTGTCATACATGGAACAGTGAAGCCAAACCACACGTCTGTCATACATGGAACAGTTAGAGTCCCACCACACGTCTGTCATACATGGAACAGTTAGAGTCCCACCACACGTCTGTCATACATTGAACAGTTAGAGTTACAGAACACGTCTGTCATACATGGAACAGTTAGAGTCACACTACACGTCTGTCATACATGGACCAGTTAGAGTCCCAACACACGTCTGTCATACATGGAACAGTTCGAGACAAACCACACGTCTGTCATACATGGAACAGTTAGAGTCAAACCACACGTCTGTCATACATTGAACAGTTAGAGTCACACCACACGTCTGTCATACATGG